CCGTAAAGAGCAAGTCCTGACGATGCCGTCCCGTTCACCGATCAGTTCTTTTAGGCGAACCAAGCTCCACAGTTGCCTTGGACCCTATTTTTCTCCGAGTAGAACTACATTGCCTTTATACAACGTGTGATTTCTTGAAGTTGATTCTTAAGAGAGAAAGGAAGAGAAAAGTGAGCCCCGTAACTGTCTGCTTCAGTGTGTGATTTCTTTTTGCTTGGTGTAATGCGTTGTTCCTGAGTTCATTCAGGTACCCTTTTAATCAATGATACCAGACGGCTTGCAAATCCTCATTTCTCTTAATCCAAAGCTTCTTCAGTTGATCGTTGGTCGACTCGGTGTTGATAGTGAGGTCGTAAGGTGGTAGCGTTGTGAGCCTCCCCATGGCTCCTTCCGCTTATCAACCCCCTGTGCCTGACAACTCGGCCCCAATATCTCTTATTCAGGCTGTTGTGCGACAAGTGTTTGCCAACATGGGCGTCTTAGTTCCCCAAAACTCCAGCCACACACCGCAGCCCATAAATCCTTACGCTCACTACCACGCCGCCCCACTTGTTGCTGCTGCCGCGTCGGTCCCGCGGTTCTAATCACGCTACCGAAATCCATCTGAGTGGCGCACAGAAGATGATAGACCGATATGCTTCTCTTGCCATCGCGTTGGCCACATTTCCCGCTACTACCGCAATAGACGGCCTTTCCGGCAACGTTTTCTAGACGACTGCCGACGGAATCGTGGGCAGTATTCACCACCTCATTTTTCCGATGACCACCTTCAGGACCTGCCACCTAGCCGTTCTACGCAACGCTCCGAACCATCCTACGCCGATGTCGTCGCCCAGAGAACCTGGTCCAGCCGCTCGCCGTCGCCTCAGGGTCGCCAGCCCCGCTCCTATCAACGCCGTCGCTCTCCGTCACCGGCGTATTCTGGGTAGTTCTCAGGAAAATAACAGATTCAGCTCCTGGAGGTGGCGCTGCATTGACAGCCCGGACCGAAAAACCTTTACCTACCACTAATTCCAGACGAAATTTACTTGGTGTTATTATCGATGGCCCGAACGTACAGCTCTAATTGACACTGGTGCCCACATATCCATTATGATGAGTTCACGCGTCTTCGATCCCGCCCGAAAAAAGTTCTTACCCCTGCCATGCCTTCGACTGTGCGAGTAGCCGACGGCAGCCGAACATCAGTTCTTGGTATGTGCACTGCCCGCGTCACTGTTGCCGGCCTCCACACTTCAGTCCTCTTCGCTGTTCTAGACGCTTGCCCACACGACGTGATTCTCGGCATTGACTTCTTGACCGCGCATTAAGCACTCATTGATTGTTCAACCAGCACTTTGCATTTAGAGTTGCCTTTGTACTTTGATGTCCCTCATGCAGCTCGCACACGGCTACGGTACGTGTAGTGTCTACGATTACCGCCTCAGGCCACTGTGTACCTTTCTATGTCGCCGTTCGCACCTGTTCCTGATGGCGACTACTTGGCAGCCCCACTCTTTGACCTGACCCTTTCCCGGAACATCATACTTTCTCATACTATAGTGAAGATTAGCGACAAGACCCTTCTCCCTGTCCTCAACTTCTCCGAGTCAACCCTGGTCATTCCTCAAGGTATTGCCTTAGCAGAACTCTCCACTCTGGAGTAATGTACAATTTCATCTCTCACTCCTGACATCAAGACCGTAGCCGAACCTGTCGCAGCTGCACAGAGTAGAGCTTTCCTAGACAAAATTATATCAAACGACCTGTCGCCGTCCCAAGTTGAAGCGCTCCGTGGTCTTCTATTTTCTTACCTCGACATTTTCGATATCGACGACCGTTCCTTGGGCCGCACGAGCGTCAAAGCCTACCGTATCGACACTGGCGACGTCAGTCCCCTTCATAAGTGTCCTTACCGTGTGTCTCATTCAGAGCGCCAAATAATTCAGAAGGAGGTAGAGAAAATTCTATACAAAGACGTCATAGAGCCTTCAACCAGTCCTTGGGCTTAACCTGTTGTGCTTGTTAAAAAGGAGGACAACACCTGGCGGTTCTGCGTCGACTATATCGCCATCTCAACCGAATAACCAAGAAAGATGTCTACCCTCTACCTCGAATTGATGATGCGCTTGACTGCCTTCATGGTACCAAGTATTTCTCTTCACTGGAGCTACGATCTGGATATTGGCAAATTTCAGTCGATGACCGCGACCGCGAGAAGACGGCATTCATAACACCCGACAGGCTTTATCAATCTAAAGTCATGCCTTTTGGGTTGTGCAATGCGCCAGCAACTTTTGAATGCACGATGGATTCCCTCCTTCGCGGTTTTAAAGGGTCAACGTGCCTGTGCTATCTAGACGATGTCATCGTTTTCTCGCCAACCTTCGAAAGCCATATTCCACATCTGTCGGCCATCCTTTACTTTTTTCGCAGTGCCGGCCTTCAGTTTAACGCGTCTAAGTGCACCTTTGGGCACCGTCAGATAAAGCTACTTGGCCACCTTGTTGACGCTGCTGTTGTACGACCCGACCCTGATAAAGTCCGGGCGGTGCGCGAGTTTCCAGTCCCACGTTCCACGCAAGAAGTCCCCTAGCTTTTTGGGACTCTGTTCGTATTTCTGCCGCTTTGTCAGCAACTTCGCAGAAATTGCTCGGCCCCTCACGGATCTCCTCAAAAAGAACGTGGCTTTTTCCTGGCGTGAAGACCAAGAACATTCCTTCGCGTAGTTGATTTCTGCGCTCACATCTCCACCTGTGTTGGCTCATTTCGACCCAGCCGCTCGAACGGAGCTACGCACCGACGCAAGTGGCCATAGCATAGGGGCAATACTCGCACAAATGCAGAACGGCACAAACAGTGTCATAGCGTACGCCAGCCACCTACTTTCTCAGTCGGAAAGGAACTATTCAATTACTGAGCGAGAGTGCCTGGCTCTCATCTGGGCTATCGCGAAATTCCGTCCGTACCTATATGGACGCACGTTCGCAGTCATCACAGACCACCATGCGCTCTGCTGGCTGTCAACCCTTAAGGATCCCACAGGAAGACTGGGGCGATGGGCATTGCGATTTTGGGAGTACACGTTCTCTGTAGTGTATAAGTCTGGCAAGCTTCACAGCGATGCCGACTGCTTATTTCGACACCCTGTTGATCCACCTGACTCCTCCGAGTTAGAAGCTGATGCCAACATCTTAGCCATTACAGATTTTCTGCAAATAGCCGACGAACAACGCCGACGAACAACGCCGACATCCATCACTGCTACCGATGATTGACCGCCTTCAATCCGGCCATAAAGACCCTTCACTGAGCCTATTTTTTCTTCAAGACAATGTTTTGTACCGCCACAACTTACAGCCCGATGGCGCAAAACTTTTGCTCGTCGTCCCACGTCATCTGCCCAAGGACATTTTGCAAGAACTTCACAACGCCCCAACTGCCGGACATTTAGGTGTCTCCAGAACCTATGATCGCATCCGCCGACGGGTATTCTGGAAGGTCCTTTATCGTTCCGTTCGCCGCTACGTTGCAGTGTGTGACCTGTGCCAGCGTCGGAAGAAGCCTACGTCTCTCCCTGCTGGTCACCTTCAACCTATTGAAGTCCCAACTGAGCCGTTTCATCGTGTGGGTTTGGATTTGTTATGTCCCTTCCCAACATCGGCAACGGGAAACAAATGGATAGCAGTAGCTACGGATTATGCCATTCGGTATGCGATTACTCAAGCCCTACCGACCAGCTGCGCAACGGACGTCACAGATTTCCTACTCTATGACACCATCCTTCAGCATGGCGCTCCTTCTCACCTACTCACGAACCGTGGCCGCTGCTTCCGGTCTCGTGTGGTTGAAGACCTCCTTCGATCCTGTGCTACGCGCGGCACAACTTTACGACTTCTTACCATCCTGAGACCAACGTACTTACTGAGCGCCTCAACCGCACACTGACGGACATGCTTGCTATGTACGTTTCTGACGACCACACCAATTTGGATACTGCCCTTCCGTTCGTAACCTTCACCTACAACTCGTTTCGTCATGAAACTGCCGGCTACTCACCATTTTATCTCCTCTTTGGCCGTGATCCTTTACTACCTTTCGATACCCTGCTTGCGCATGACCTTTCGTCCACCACTTCGTACGCACAAGATGCCATCTCCCGTGCTCTAATGGCACGTACAGAAGCCCGCGCCAGGTTCTCATCATCCCAGAGAGCACAGAAGTCGCTCTACAACAGCCGACATAGGGACGTCAATTTTTCTCCGGGCTCTCTCGTGCTACTGTGGCTGCCATCTCGTCGTGTCTGCCTGTGCGAGAAACTTTTATCGCAATACGTTGGGCCTTACCGAGTTCTGCGCCAAGTCACACCTGTCACCTATGAAATTTCTCCTACTACGAACCCCACTGTTACATCCAGAAGTGACATGGTGCATGTGTCTCGCCTGAAGCCCTATCACAGTGACCTGTCCATCTAATAACAGCAGGCGCCGGGACGGTGCTTTGCCGCCCGGGGTAATGTCACGGGTATAGAAAGGTACGTCAGGCACGGGTGCAGGAACAATGCAGACAGAATGAAGACGACCATGTTGTTGTGGGGCTGTGTCTGAACAGCCCTCTTGTCCTGCATCCTTGCATACTGTGTGCAGTGTTAGCCCACCCGGTGTTCACTTATTAAATACTCCCCGTAACAATACGATGAAAAGATGTGAGATGGTGGTACTTAGAATGTTCCCTAGATGGACGGATGAATGGACGTGCAGACGGACGGACAGGCAGACAGACGCACGGATGGGCTGACGAACGCTTCGCCCTACTCATCATCATTCACTCCGAGGATATGCTGTGATTTTTTACGCCATATTTAGAGAGGGGGCACGCGGCTACACAAATATTCGCACCCTCTTCCTTATTAGGGAGAGTGCGTGATTCCATGTAGAAAAGCCATGAGCCGACGCGCTGCAAAGCGTGTGTGTGGTCAGGCCTTTAAGACCTGTGACATAAATATTGGGGCAGTTACGCGCTTGTGGTGCAGAGCAAGATGTTTACTTTTTGTATATAGGAACGTATATACAAACATATCCACTTCAGCCCTTTGAAGTAAGAGAAATCGCATGCAAACACATATGGACAGTACACTTAGGCTCGCACAACTGTGAACACCATATTTGAGACGCCATGGCCTCAGAAGGAAGTTCCGAATTTCAAAGACATCTAAACATACAGCTTAATATCAGAGCCTTTGAATAGAAGTTTCTAAGATTCTCAAAGATTTCTGTACCACTCAAGAAGTGTGTAGGCTTCAAACACTGCTGCACAAAAAAATGCGTCGACAGTTCCCTCTGTATGTACTTTGTTATACTCTTTGTATAACATAGATGTATGGATGCAGAGTCGGCACTTATCATACAAATAAGTCAATGTAACCTCCACAAACAGTTTTCTGTACAAGCACACACAAGCACAGAGAATTGCACATAAATTGACACACAGAACTACACGTAGAATGGCTAACAACATCGTGTGCATTTGAGAGATTATGGCAACAATCTGTCATTACACCACTTGAAGTTAAATAACACGGTAAAAAGAGTGTGCAAAATTTTTGCGACAATATCGCCAGTCTTCAGCAGTTTAACTGAGGCCTAATCCTTGGTAATGCAAAAAAGCACACGTGGATTTTTCTATGCCATAGAGCTCCTTGTCCTGGCAAAAATTTCAATACTATTTATCTTATCAAAACTACGGTTTTCATCAAAGGCTTTGTCCTCACCATAAATTTGGATTACAACTATAGTACACTACTGCGGAAACTTTCTAGCAGGTGAGAACATTAATAACTTCACAGGTCCATTACACAAAATTTCCCACGTTTTCTGCCTGCAGCTTAATTATGTGCCTGCTTCAATGATGTTCCTTGGCCTGAACTGTTATAAAGTAGTGTCATTAAATGACATTTAGATGGATATATTGGCAAACACATCACGAATATGTAGCTAAACACAGTGAACATGTTGTACATGAATTTTAAATTATTGAAATCTGTGAAATGATTGGCAAGATAATATAGGTACTACAATAGAAAATGAATATGAGGTCCCCTAATTATAAGAGTCATCCCATATAAGAGACAAGAAATGCTGCCCGGAGCATGCCTCTTACAAAGAGATTTAACTGTACAACTTTAAACCATTTCTATTTCTTAGAAGACTTTTTATGAATATTAGAAAAACCGCAAGTAAGTGCTCGACCGAATATACTTGGAAAAAAAACCAGGGAGTCACCCAGTGCTTGCATTACTGAAAACGCCATAGTCCCACTTTCCACGACAACCACTGAAACCAAAGCTGTAAGTAGGTGCTATAAAAATGTTTCCTAAGTGCTCCAACAAACGACGTTTCCGAGTATGCGCTAGCAACTTAGTGCGAAAAATACACCCCCCCCCCCCTAAAAAAAAAAAACATGATACGAATTATTCATGTCAGTAGTCCTTTAAAGCATTTCTGCACTTAATGTGTATATGAATATGAAAATATGTGTTGGCCTTACCAACTTGCTTTTACACTATTGTGATAGAGCAACCAGTAGGTGCCTGTACCTGTAAAAATTCTCATGCCGTCTCCAGCCACTCTTACATTTGTACCCTGGCTTTGGCTGCTACTGCATCAGAACCATTAATAATATGTGTAAGCCCTCTTTGCTTCCTAGAATCAAAATGTAACCCTGCCTCTTCGCTCTACATTCTCCAGTCATTTCTCGCATTACATCCATGTTCATGTTCAGATGCACGATTTCAACATGCCTGCGGTAGTCAGGTTGTCAGTGACCTTCTAAGTTTCTTCGCCATTCATAACATGGCAATGAGCATAGCAGTAAATGAGGTAAAATGGCAATAACACACTGAACAACTACAGCCATTTCTTAGTCAGAGCACCGCTTCAGTTAGGTAACAGCCCCTCACATTCCATGCAATAAACAGCAACAAACTTATTTCTATATTGCACTAAGCAAACAACAAGTTCGCACTACCTAACAGGTACTTTCAGTAGTTCTGATGCAACATGAGAAAACAACCTGACAAGGCATATCACTTACATGGCTGTGGCAGAGAGATAAAAAATTTTGCTGCATGGCTGCTTGAATGTTACTGACACAAAGAAAGTTAGTGTTTCATCAAAGCAAGATGAAAGTAATAGTTGTAGGTGCTGGCACACTGATGAACATGTCTCACAAGAAGGACTACAAGATTGCTTGAACCTGGATATCTTGAACCTGGCCTTAGTTGTACTAACAGCTAAGCAGTTGTAACAAATATGGAGCAAAAAACTTATTTCTATATTGCACTAAGCAAACAACAAGTTCGCACTACCTAACAGGTACTTTCAGTAGTTCTGATGCAACATGAGAAAACAACCTGACAAGGCATATCACTTACATGGCTGTGGCAGAGAGATAAAAAATTTTGCTGCATGGTTGCTTGAATGTTACTGACACAAAGAAAGTTAGTGTTTCATCAAAGCAAGATGAAAGTAATAGTTGTAGGTGCTGGCACACTGATGAACATGTCTCACAAGTAGGACTACAAGATTGCTTGAACCTGGATATCTTGAACCTGGCCTTAGTTGTACTAACAGCTAAGCAGATGTAACAAATATGGAGTTTTAAATAAGTGAATCGGGCATGACAGCAAAGTCTTTATGCTAGTTCCATGCTAGCTCCAGCTGCTAGCATAGCTCAAAAATCCCTGAGCAACTGTTCTTCAACAGTTTCCAAGCCACCCATGTCGTCAGCTAAAAATACTAGCTGCAAAGCCAGAAGCATTCTGCTGATAGTGTTGGTGTTATCAGCATAGGTACAGTATTGGAGCAGGACAATAATGAATGAGACAAAAAACCATGATTTTTTTTTTCTACTTCGTACAACATAAAATACCTTCCATGTTCTGTTTATGTCTATGTGTTTTTGTAACACCCCTACAATCTCTGTACTCTTAGAGACCACAAGAGCAAATAAAACAAATGAAAATAACAGTGGCATAAAAGTAACAAAACTGTTTTGCGCGCTGCAATTATCTCTTCTCTTGTCCTGCCGAAAGTGCTGAAAGCTAAGCAAAGAGGGACGGCACGAGAAAATAAATACACCACGTGAGCCTCGTGACATTGAGCACTTTTTCTCTTTTGTTTTTTTCTTCTTCAAATACGCAGCTTTTTTTGTGCAATCGTCCATGCATGCGTGGACAAATCGCAGCTTTCCATTGCAGCCCCACTAACGACTGAGCATGCCATGCTAAAATCAGGCAATGGCTGATGCAATGGCTGTGACAAGTAATTTTTTAGCTTCCTTTGTCGAGACAAGAGAAAGCAACCTTTAGCTGATTTTGAGAATTTGTTGTGAATTCCAGATTGTGTGTTGCACTATAACATTTGGCTAGGGTGTTTGTTTTCGAAAGCCTCGACTACCGATTGGCAGAGTTGTTTGATCATGCTCAAAAAGTGCTGCAGGGCCCCATCAGAGGTCAATTTTTTTTAACTGTTAATTTTTTAAAAATTACAATACAACTGCAATAGAAAAACATTATTTAAAAAATGCAGCTAATTAAAAAACGGTATCTCAGAAAACAAGTAAAGTTTTACGAGTGAAAAATTCTGATTAGTGTCAATTTTAGAACCACATGACTTTCACACCGTACTTTATACACTATTAACTTACATACAATGCAGTTAATTTTTCACGAAAACATTGGAGTTAAATGTGCAAGCTTGGCTAGCAATGTACAACAGTCCGTGAGTAAATAATGGTAGCATAAAATAAAGAAAAAACACACATTCTGCTTCTTACTATATACAAAGGTTTGGCATTCTGACCCATTTAAGTCTAGTTTACAATCACGAAAATGACAGCGACCTAATTATCTCCTGCCCGATCGCTGCAGCAAGAGGAGGTGGCACAGCGTTTCCAACCTGCGTGGAACAAAGAGCATGTTTGTTTAAAAATGCACATGAAGGAGCTGCGCACTTTCGAGTGAAACAAACCTCAATAGCATTAGGGTTTCTAAATTGTTGACAACCTGCAGCCAAAAATAAAACGACTACATCAATCTTAGAGGGATAGTGACAGAAAATTTCATGGCCAAGATAGCCTGCAAGATCGATGCCCATGAACATGCATATATCATCTGCAAGATATTAACAGAGATTACAGCTTGAAAAATACTTTAAATTTATTTTGAAATTTGTGAGAGCAATCGACTCCATCGCGCTACTAACGTCCTCAAAGGGGACCTTCGGGGACTCCCTACTTCTCTCAAGTGACTACGCTGCAGAGAGTTATGACGACGTCATAGCCACCATTTTCTTTTGGTCTTGTTTGCTCCGGCAGACTATCACTCTGCAGCCACAGTGCACGAGTTGAAAGTTTTGTGTTTGATGACATCGCTGTCATGTTTTCTGTTCGAAAAAACTTCTTTATGCGAACCGCGCGGAAGTGCGTCACAGTTCTGTGTGCTGACATGGTCGAGCTTTGCACCCGCTAGGTGATGATAGTGGCACCCGATGGCTTGTCGTTTTCGAAACAGAAACCGACACTTGTCAGTAATAATAAGCCTGTAAATAATTATTTCTCATGTACTGCAAAAAACCATGTGTCGTGTTATGACTAACAGGGCCCCAGAAACACAATACAGCAAGAAAATGCGAGGGTGAAATTTTTGTGTCAGTACCTGTTAACACAAGAATTTGAGTAAAAATGCTAGTAATCTGAAAGCCTTACTTTAAGGTATCGTACAGATCCAACCGATAGTACAGTGAAATATATACGTGATGCACTTGATTGAGTGTCAAGTATGACTAAATGTCATGCACACAGTTCACTATACTATAATCCTGAGCCATGTTTAACCTGGTGTAATGTTTGCATTTTATGCACAACACAAGTGACAACATTATGCTATGTATGTTTTGTTAATACACTCCGCAACCTTCATTACTTATGCTGAAAGGTAAGCACAAATTTAGGAAAATGCTTACAATTGGGGCGGTTTGAAGGAAAGGGTGCTCAACACCGCATAAATAATATTTTGACATGCATTGTGAGTTATGTAATCTGGTAACGAAAGAAGGTTATTTATCAGTGCTCGTAATGTCTTTATTTGAAGCACACTTAATGAAAACTAGCAGATAATAAAGCCAGGAAAGGCATAGTGGATGTTACTCCTCTGAGCGTTGAATTTTTTTCGAGGAAAACTTTTTTTCCCCCGAGTTCAAATTATCGTACTGCAGTTTTAGAGTGTATGAGATGTGCAAAGTTGGCAAGGAATTGTAAAAAAAAGCAATGGTTTCATGGTGTCGTCAGCATTACTCCGAACTGCAAACAGGTTTAGTAGTATTTTTGAATGTCTTGTTCCTTAAAACACCTATGCACAGTGCCTTATTGCCATCTGCACACAAAACACACGTTTATGTTCTCTTCTTGGAGCAAAAAGTAGAGCAGCAAGCTCTCTAATATCAAGGCAGTTAAGGATACCGCGTGAGCATCGCTGACAAACAAACTAATAGCAGTGCCAATAAAGATGGAAATCTACTTCTGCCACACTGGCAAAACTGTGCTGATGGGGATAAAAACCAAGTTTAGCGAGCCTCCATTGCGCTATAGTGGCGAAATAAAATCCCAAAAGGGCCTCGCTCATCCATGTTATTGCAACCCTCAAGACAAGCTGATGCTGGACTTCAGTTTTGTTTACCTTCGCAACAAGGTAGACCAATCATTTTCACTGTTTACTGTTAGTCCTAGAAGGTGAAAGCACCTCTTAGAGCTAACTTTTTTTTGCAAATCATTAATAAAAACCAGCAGATAAAGAATCTAAGGAAGGTACAGGGGATGCAAATTGTATTATTCTAAGCGTACTATGGTTATGTTCTCCAAGATCACGTTTTATGTTCGAAATGCTCATGTCAAATGCACTCCTCACTTCAAACACACGCTGCAGCTTGAATGAGTTACCTGCATGCACTTGTCGTTCGCCGATCCCACAAAGACGAAATTGTCGGGGAAGCCCTGAACACGAGCATACTCTCGAACCGTGAGCAGCCTGCACAGCGATGGGTGTAGCAATGCCGACTGAAAAGACAATGCATCACAACTTAAACCACTGCTTATTCACGGTCAAAACAATATTGGGCCCTCTTCTTGTTAAACTGCCACCTGAAATAGATACAACGTTTATCGAGGCGAACGCCTGTCTTGGTTTGAATGGCAAAAACGTGCCTCCAGTTCACATTTGCAAAGCCGTGCCTGGAAAGTTCATGCCCTCGCCCATAGAAGATGACACCAGCACAAACTCTTGCCACAGCAACCAAATGCAGCCAAAATGTGGGCAAGGGGAATACCCACAACAGAAGAGAAAGTCCCAACTCAAAAGAGGCAGTAAAAGGGCACAGCACACTGCATAAGTGCACTGACATCAGAAACAAGTGTGAAGTGTTGTGGAGTGAACACGTTCCAGCTGCCTGCATTGTTCCATTTTCGATAGCACGACTCAGCAGCACTCCTTGCAGCACCCGTTTATGGTGACGACAGCCTCAAGAAACACCCTTGTGTTTTTGTCATGTACGAATATGCTTAGGGATCCACTGCAAGTGCAGTGGATCCCTGACTTTGACGTCACTTTCTCCCTAGCCTGTTCCCGCTCGCTGCGTGTCACCTCTCTCGTTTCATCCTCTCCACTTTTTCCTGTGCAGCATTTCAAGCGAAACTCTGTGACATTTTATTTTTCATGTATAAGCTAGGACAGACCAAACACTAAACACTATTGACATATAACTAGAAACCCTCAATGTATCTGTGTTGCTGTAGGGATGAGATAAGAATCATTTATTGCCAGCAAGTAACTGTGAAAATTAGGCTTGTGCGAATATTCGAATGCTCTCAATATTCGAATGAATAGTAGAGTATTCAAACTGCTTTGGTTATATTTTAATTAGTGAAAATTTCAAAGTATTCGCAAAGAATGAATAAATCCATATTATTCCGAATTTACTGCCTGTAAAGGTGGTTTTGCTGCAGTGTAGGGGTGCTGAACGATGAAAGCACCTATCCAAAAAAAAATTGTTCTGAAGCAAAGCTTACCTAAAATATAAAGGGGCTCTGCAACATTTTTTGAGCATTGTCAAAAAACGCTGCCGATCAGTTGTCGAGGCTATCGAGGACACGCAGGCCAAAAATAACAGCGCAGCACGCAGCGTGCAATTCACCATAAATTCTCAGAGTCAGCTAAGAAATGCTCTCATCTCTCGACAAATGACTCTACAAGCTCAGAAAGCACGTGTGATGTATTTTCTTTCCCCCAGTCATTCCTCTCTGCTTAGCTTCCAGCGCTTTCGTCATGATGAGAACAGAGAATGCACTTGCAGCATACGAGAAAACTCTGCAACTCTGCATGTACTAGACAGTGAATCCATGAAGCAATTAGGTTCATTGGTGAATCCATTCCATGGCTACTTAAAAGTCGGACGGCCCCTTTGAATGAAAATATTACCCTCAAATCAATTCAGTTTATTAAGCTTAAAAGCTTGTTATGATGGCTTATATGCTCAAAGTATAATAAAATTTTAAATGTTACATGTTTTAAGGGTCATGACTCGCATCCTGCTGGAAGTCAAATCCTGCTACCACTTAAAGTTCTTTCGACTTCCTTTGAAAAAAAAAAAAATAAAATAAAATTTGCACAGAAGCCCTATTTTAATTAACAAAAAATATTGTGCAGGTAAGTTAGGTCATGATAAATATGCCAATTTTTTTTATATGATATATATACTAGAATTCGATTCGAAATCATTCAAACACAATCACTATTCTCTTCGAATCGAAACTTCACTATTCGCACAAGCCTGATGAAAATACAGAAAAAGAAAAGCATAATGCATATCTACGTAGTGGTATACTTCTTTCAATAATCTAACCCTTTAATGCTGATCCGTTCCTGACTATTGCTATCACCGACTTCCATTGATTTGACTCTGGTTATTTGGATCTTGACTGAAGGTCCCAGCTGACAACAGTCCTTTATCGGTATCAGTGCGAACTTCGGTTACTTTTATCTTGATGTTAGCTTTAACCTAACAATCCGAACATAGCCTGTCATCTTACATTCATTCCAAGTTAATCGTGGTGGCAGAGATGGTCCCAATATTGACAGTGTCCAACTGAATGGCACATAGAATACAGTGAATGTGTCAGTCCCATTCACTGAACCGTTCAATGTACGCAAAGTCCCGAAGTTGACTGTACACATTTTTGGCAAACCAAAATAAAGCAAATTTAATATGGTGCAAGTAACTCGCCGTAGGCCCCCTCTACCACGATAAAATAAAAACTAAATGCTAGGCCTCCACGAAACATGCAGGATAGACGCGGTGCATGTTGAGGAGCGGCCTTTTCAGAGCCCGTAGCGAAGTCTTTTAGGGTGCCTATCGCAAGTAAAGTTGTGAAGCACCTTCTATGCTACAATTCAAAATCTTGAAATGGAGCGAAGTATGTGTTCTTTAAGTGTGTAAGGTAATGTGCGCACCTGTGCAGCTGTGCACTGCTGATACTGCCTTTCACGATGATGATGACAAACTTTAGCTTGGTCCTTTTGTAACAGGTTGGCAAGCTTTCAACCACCCACTTGTTACACAATTAACATGGTGCAATGCCTGATGCAATACTATGCTTTACCACACAATACCGGAATTACTCAAATCTAATGCGCACCTTTTTTCCGGTTAAGTGAGCTCATAAATCGCATGCACGTTAGGATCCAGTACGAAAAAAAAAAAATGAATACGGTCATTCTATTGCCATCGGCATTTCCAAAATGACCGCCCCCTAAGTGCGCCGGCATTGCGCGTCGGCCATTTCTGCCTACGTGTTTCCCATGAGCAGCACTTCGTACAAGAGCTGAGGAGTTCGTCATATTGTAGTGCATTAGCATCAACGGCATGGAAGGGCCGACTTTAAAAACTAGACGAGTGCACCCCGATGCCGCTTTTAAAAGAAAAGTCAACGCGTGTGCCGAAATGGACGGAAATCGGGCCGCATCGCGGTCGTTCGGAGTTCTCAAAACGTGCGTGCGGGACTGGCGGAAACAAAAGCAGAAGATTGTCGACAGCAAACATTCACGCAAGGGCTTCAGTGGACCACAGCAGGGTCGGTTTCCGCAAATTGAAGAGCTGCTCGGTGAGTATGTGATTGAACAGTGAGCGGCACAGCGGCCCGTGACGACAGAACTGCTCCAAGTGCAGGCTATGCAGTTAGCCTTAGAAAAAGGGCTAATGCGGAGCCAGTTTAAGCGAGCAAGTGCTGGCTAACTAACTTTATGAAGAGGAAAGGCTTTGCCCTCCGAATGCGATTGGGCATACGCGAAAAGTTGCCGGAGGAGTACAAAGAAAAACTTCACAGTTTTCAGAGGTTCGTCCTAAACTTGCGGCACAACAACGGCTTCCTGCTTGGGCAAATCGGGAATGCCGATCAGACGCCTCTTTACTTCGACATGCCTGTCACCACAACCGCCGAGAAAAAGGGGTGAAGCAAGTTCGCGTGCTGACATCAGGCCACGGTAAAACTAGAGTGACAGCAATGCTCCGTTGCACGTCAAATAGGCACAAGCTTCCCCCGTACCTCATATTTAAACAGAAGACGCTCCCAAAAGATGTCGTTTTCACGAGTGGTGTGATCGTGCGGGCCAACGAGAAAAATGGGTGCGCGTTGCGATCCATGTTTTTTTTTTTTTTTTTTTTTTTTGTCGTGGAAACCGGGTGGGCGTTACAATCGAGGGCGCGGTAGAATCAAGTAAATACGTTATTATATTTGTTAAGTGACTCTTTGACTGACACGTCGCCTGACAGGGTTTTTTTCTGAAGAACCTTCAAGCTCTTGCATAGCCAGGCGATAGAATACTTGTCTAACAGGTAAAATGCCTGAGTTCTATTCCAGCTTGCATACTGGTTTCATTCTCATTGTGTGCGATAGTTGTGATGGACGGACATTGGCAGTGGCACCAAAATTGGCTGTAGTTATGAGCTCATAACACCTTACGCAGGAGAACAGCATTGGCAGTAAATTACACACTTCGCAGCAGAAAGGAGAAGGCACTACAATGACTACAGCAGGGGATATACCAGAACTATAAGAGGATGTAGACATAGTAGTGGTTTCGTTTTCAGATGCGAAGCAGCTCTTTGACTAGCCTGTGTAACACTGTCCCTCAGTCAGCACCGCGCTCTCCTGGCCGCAGGTGTTGGGTGGTGCCAGGTAGGTCATGCCTTCTCTCGCAGTGCGCGCACATTGACCTCACTTTCTTCCTAGCCTGTTCCCGCTCGCTGCGTGTCACCTCTCTCGTTTCATCCTGTCCACCGCTCGCAACACTCAATCGCTTCACCCTCTTAGTGATGCGATTGACTAACTGTATTGGAGCAGCAAAAAGTGCATTTTGGAGCAGGAAAAGATGATTTTGGAGCAGCCAAAAATATGTTTTGGAGTGGGAAAGACAACTTTTTAAGCAACCAAAAATGCATTTTGGAGCAGCTTAAGACTCACGTCCAAGTGGAACACTGACCATGTGAAGCACAGCAATGAACTAAGGAGGAACGCTTTTCAATTAAGAAGCTCTGTGCGAAAAATGGATGTTTAGATATGTTTGTACAACATCACAGAATATTCTCGCAAACTCATTTTAAACCTTCCAGTGCATTTTTTAAAATGAGGTGCAACCAACTACAAATTGGTGCTGCATTCTGGCCACTGAAATAATGTAGGAGAGCAGTTATCATTGAAGACAAAATAAATCACAATGAAATGTTTTATCGAAAACTAACAACACTGTTTCATTTCTTTTATTTGCAAAAGTGTTGTTGTCTTCTTGCCTGACATCTTGTCAAGGGCTGCAGAGAGCCGTGTTTTTCCTTCACCAAGCAAGGACTGGCACTACAGATGTCGTCTCAATCCAGTACGTGGTGTGAGCATGGCGGTCGCCCGAAAAGTTTAAGTTTTTAGGGTCACGGAAACGCTAATTTACAAGGCTTTCATTGTGTCAGAACATTCATAGACACTCGCGGCAATACCAAGCACGGCTCCAAGCACCTCTAAATCACATCACAAAAGCTTATTGACAGCACTCCATATGACCGTGAAGTGCGTGGCCGCATGGACAGTGCAGCCAGTGCGTGATGCACTTGGCAGCGACGTTCCGTGACGATGGACAAAATGTGTAGCTACGATGACGAAAAAAATCGGCGCGCACTGTGCTTGTTATCACATTTTTGAGTGCTGGCGCGCGAAACTGCTAGAAGCTGTTCCGAGCAATCTTGGCATTGGAGGGGGGGGGGGGGGTTCCCGAGCTTGACTGTGGTGTTTGTTCTCTGCGGATGCGTCAAATGCCCGTCCGCAGTTTTGAGGAGCTAGAGAGTGATGTGCTTTGTTGCCTGCAAAGAAGCACATTTCCACGAGTGCGCTAGCACGTCGTTCTCGCTCGCAAAGTTCGTTTAGCCATCAGCAGAGTTAGGTCTAAAGACGACTCTAGTGACGGGCAGTGCTTGTAGATTGTGCAATTATATCCTGAGTAATCGTCGAGCCGTGGACATGTGACGAAGTAGCGATCATGTCCTTGCATAGCACAAGCAGCAGACGACAATCTCCGGGAGTGAGCATCGGGCCAAAGGCGAGATGAGCTGGGGCACCGCGGCGACCACAGCCAATCAGGGGCCTCGAAACGACCTTCAAACGTTTGCTTTTTGTGCACTTGTTTTTAAAGGGAGAAGCCAGCTGAGGTGAGAAGTTTGAAAACGAAGAAATACTTTTTCCAATGAGCCCAAAAAGCCGGCTCCTGGCCGCTCCATCGCGAAGCTATAATTTTTTGAAAATCGCTGTTTTTTTTTTTCGATTTCCAGAAATATTTTCACTACCTAGAAGGGTGAAACGAATTTTCAGGAGCACTTCTGCACGGTTTTCAGGGTAGATATTTTGGAATCAGATCAAAAAAAGCATTCTAGAAACTGCAAACTTGATTTTTAAAAAAATCTACCTTTTGCAGTTTTTCGCGGTACGAAACCACATCTCACCTTGATATTTGCGCTAAGTCTGAGTTGACCTTCGACAATGAGCTACAAAGAAGTTTTAAACTGGTTTGCTAGTTCACTGCCCTTCTAGCTTTCAGCTGTTTCACGCTGCTGTCCTCTATCCACCTGCCAAACACGATCGGCACGGGGCCGCGGACATCGGCTCGCGGAAAGCTGTTCCGTCCAAGGTGCACTTTCGGGGGCCACAATAATTTATACCAGCCTTGGGAACAATTGTCTGTGCCTCCCCATGCTTTATTTTATTTACATAAATGATATTGCTAATGACATAAGTGACGACATAACCGTCAGGTTCTTCGCAGATGATTGCCTAATATACCGTGAAATCAATAACCAGAATGATCAGACATCACTTAAGCAAGCCCTTAGAGTCGTAGAAAGATGGGCCACTAAATAGCAAATGAAAATCAATGAATCCAAATCAGTTATGCTCAGAGTAACAAACAGAAAAAAACATGCAATTAAATGTCAATACGAGATGAATTCCAGAACTCTAAACGAAGCTGACTCGATAAAATACCTAGGCTTAATCATTTCAAATGACTTAAGTTGAAAACCACACGTGAACAGCATTTGTGCAGCTGCAGAAAAGAAGTTATGGTTCCTCCGTCGCAAACTAAAGCTAGCAACACCATCCATTAAGTTTCGTAAGGCCAACGCAAGAATACGCCAGTGCTGTGCGGGACCCCTTCCAGTCGGGTTTGATAAATTGAATTGAAAAAATACAGAGAAAAGCCGCAAGGCTAATTTTACCACGTTATTTACAAAGTGTCTCCGTTTCTGAAATGCTTCGGTTGCTTGAATTGCCTACGCTGGCTCATTGCCGAAAAGTCAGTCGACATAAACTACTTTTTTGTTATCAAAAGGACACCTTAATATTGAAACTAAACCCTATCTCGTTCTCAGGCCTTCCAGCAATGTCAAATCATGCAATCAATTTTCCAGCAATGTCAAATCATGCAATCAATTTGTGTATTTGGTTCCTAAGTGCAATCTTGATGTGTACGCGTATTCCTTTTTCCCACAAATGATAAAAGAGTGGAATCAGTTGCCAGTACCGGTACTGAATTCGAAGAACATAGAAAACTTTGAACAGTGCATTAAAAATATGTCGTGAACATTGAGTGTTGCTATAGTATTGTACATATATTGCCATGTTGTTCGAAAATACATGGTGTAGTTACTTCATATTGCATACTATACCACCATCGCAATATATATATGTAAGTTTTTATTAACAGCGTTTAAATATTTTTCCTTTATGTATTAAAAAAAATTCTGTCTTCTATACAATACATTGTACTTGTTTTTGTTTTATGTTTACTGTACCCACCCTGTTACGGCCATAATGGCCAACAGTATTTGGAATAAATAAACCAGCGTCCGGCCGTATCTACCCTTCCCCCGGCTGGACACTGATTTTCCTCTCACGGGGCAACCAACATTAGAAGCTCACAGGCCACCCCTAACTGCGTGTTGTCACCAGCGACGTGCTGCGCCCGTTTTTTCTATAGTATTTTGTAATTAGGTGCAGTTTTGGTGCAGAAAGGAGGAAAAGTAGCAAAATGAAGCAGGTTTCCCGTCTTAGTGCAGTTTAACGCAATTGGCACAGCTATTGCACCACTGCCCTCTCCACCACTCGCAACGCTCGAGCCCACTTTTCACGTGGGCATCACCTCACCCGTGCCACCTCTCTCCATCTGTCAGCTAGAAGAAACCGCGAGCCGGTGGGTGCACATGCTGCACGCGCCTCGAGAATCTCGCGGCGCCCACAATGAGGACAGCACGTCGCTGCTTGGCGTGCGATTGCGCCGACAGGCGGGACGCCGTCCCGGCATGCTTCCTGCTAGTGTGCACGTACCTTTCCCAACTGTTGCCGGTGTTGCGAGGATTAGCGAAGCCATTCGCGTTCACTAACGATGATGTTAACACCGGCGAAGCGCGATCCAGGGACGCCGAACGCAAGAGTTGGCAGTGGAAGACCAGCAACACCGGTGAGGTGCGAGTCAAGAATACATATCGCGTTCAAGAATAGAGACAGTGCGTGGGTAACACTGACGAGACACGAGCCAAGAAAGCCGAGCGAAAGCGTCTTCAACGCGGCCCGCCTCCCGTGTCATTGCGTTTCAAACGAACGTTCACTTGAGTGAACGCTACACGAAGTTTTGCTTCAAACCGTTCTTCCAGCACCCGCGTCGATGCCCGTTTTAACTGGGTCAACAACGTACGCATCGCTGCTTCTTTGCATCCCATCAGGGTTCCTTTCAGGGAGATGGTCTATAGATTTTTTTAGGTGGCACTACAATTTGTTGTTTTGACATACATCCTATCTTGCAACAATAGTTCAAGCAGTTCTGGGTACATGCAAGTTAGCTCTTACAATTTGTAATTTGTATGAAATATGAAATATTTACATCAATTGACTGCACTAGAAATAATTTTCTGACATGACTGCAACTTTTACACTTTTTTTTTCACTCAAACTTCATTATTCGAACTCACTTTGCACCCAAAATATTGCTATTCACACAGCTCTAAAATAACTGTAAATTCCAGGCCGCATGCTGCATTACAATGTTTGGCTTGTGTGTTTTCAGCAGCCTCAACTCCCGATCGGCAGTATTTTCTGACCGTGCTGAAAAAGTGTTACGGTGCTGATCAATAACAGCAGACGCTCAAGATACAACTTAACAGCATTAACCTTCTGCTTTCTCACCTTGTCAGGCTTTGGCAGAGTGGTGACTGTTCCTGCACAGCCGTCCCAGTCGAGCCGTGCATAGGCTTTGTCCAGATATCCCTGTGCAGCCCCCTGGCCTGACTTATGTGCCAGTGTCCATGGAACTAATGTGCGCTTGTACACATCTGGCGGCGGCTCGCACTCGTCTCCCGCTGCACATGGGCACACACCCTGGATGCCCTTGTATGTCTTGAAAGGCCTGCGCCACCATAAGGCAAACACCACCACAGTATCTCAGCAGCAACATCTATTCTTACGAAGCTGAGCTCAAGAATTTCGATGAAGACAAAGTGCCAAAGTTGCCCCCGTGTTCAAACTCAAGTGCACTTTAAGAAATGCTAAGTGGTAAGGCTTATTCTGGAGTCGTCCAGCATGGCATGACCTACAATTCTTTTGAATAAGATGCCGAAAATTATCTTTTTTTCATTCATCTACGATGACATAAACTAGGGAAAACTCTGAAGTATGCACAAGGTTCATGAATGTCAGTGAACACTTTGCTTGGCATGGAGGCCAAGGATAGGTATGTACATACATGGCCTGGTAACGACATATGGATGGCACAATGACCGATTTGGGTGGGTTGTCTTGCCATTGGTTGCGCCTATACCTGCTGGCAGAAATGGTACTTAAAGGGGCAACTAAATCCACACACATTACAGTTGTGACCGTGGTGCAATCAATCAACCACAAGCTGGAAGAGGATGGTTACACAAAACAGCCCATCTAGGGGGTGCCATATTATTCGCATACAGCATTCATGCATATAGCGCCACAACATAGTATGGTTCCCAAAGCATAGAAAGGCACAAATAAAGGCCATCAAATCAAAAGCTGGGATTTTAAGGAATGCATGAAACTAAGGATTGAGTAGAGTGCAATGAGTCACTGTTGGGTGTGAACTTTAGAAAACCTAAAAACAAAAAGTCAGCTCTCATGCTTAAGTTCCAAACTAGAAACAGCGAGAAATCATGAAATGCGCAATACAAAGTAATACTTATAGTAAATGCATTAAATCCAAAACATAGTGCACAAACAACTTACATATCAGTGCCTGACTAAAAAGCAGGTATTTGTATGGCGGATAGCTGAACACCCCAGACTGCACAAGAGCTTGAAGAGTAGAGAGACAAGTGTCCAGAGCCTAATGCATGAACTAAGCCTGCTGTGGATCTACACGTTAACCACAAACTTGCCCATAACAGAGGTCATGGTGATACGGAGTAGCCAAATTCACAAGCGAACTCTAAATTGTTCAGTAGACTCATTTATGCATCTGATCCTCAGATATGGAAATCTGGAAACCCGAGAATTGACGGAGGCTTTTCATTGCAAGGCCACAAGGGCCAGCATGCACTTACGAGCTATTTCACACCGACATTGATGTCATTGATGTTCATTCCACAATTTCGGTCAGACTGACAATGTCTACTTTGGTGTACACATCAAGTTTACTTGATTGAATTGCACACTACAAGACTAAACTTTTTTTTTCAATTTAGAATAAAAAAAATATACTATAAGAAGTACATACAAAAATGATGGTTGATCCCTCTTTCATAGGAGTCTCTCAAACACCAATACGAAACATGTCTAAATATAATTATTGCTAGTACTGTGTCAACATGGATACATCTATGCTGACATTCACTACCAAGTGACACTCTGTGTTGACGCTCTGCCAAGTGCTTTTATCTGACGCCATATCGTTTTTGGCAATCTGTGATATAGCAACACACTACTATACAAAAATGCAACAGGAAGATTTTGCAGTGTGCATTTCGAACGCTTGAAAGCACTCGGTTTCCCACTCGTGCAGGTCTCTCAAGACCAACACAGTCATGGCTGCACATCGCTGAACAAAAGCTCCTGCAGCATCTACCTACATGTAGTACACTGTCACACTGCTTCTTCATGGTGGCACTGTTGCTGTATAAGCGGCGAGCATATAATATGATGCATTTGCACCGAAAACCCTGCTTGTTCAATGGTTCTCAAAATTCCTGGAGCTGAAATTTAGCTTCTCACCGTCGACGAGTAACTCAGGTGAAGTCAATGGTTTTCAGAATTTCTTTCTGAGCCATCCATGCTCTCTTTTATTAAATCAACAGATGTCGCTTTGCCCAAAAGAAATGATGAGTGTCAGTTCATGGTATATAGAAGCATATGTTAAAGCATATCTAACTGTAGAACTATAGAAATGGCAGCTAGTTGGCATATGCTAATTTTTACAGTGCATATAAGTATGGGCCCAGAGGATAATGGAGACCATCAACTAATAAATATTTATTAGAGTGATAGATATAAACCAGAAACCAAATGCAGATGCACAATTGTTACCAATTAGAGCCAGACACGAAAACTCATCATCACATAAGGCAATCGATCAGTTTTCGTATCTGGCTCAGATGCTTTGTAACATTCGTGTACCTGCTGCCTGTAGTTCCTTGTTTATTATTTGTTGCTCTCATAATATTTCTTAGTTGAAGGTCAGTGCTTGCATTGTTGCATCTCTTCTTTCTTCCTGTCCTTATATGCGCTGTAAAAATAAATAAAAAAAGAGCATTTTAACGTGATAGGGTTGTATTCACAACATGTTAAGTCTAATGCAGGCCAAATGCATTTGTGCACACCGAAGGGTCTGCATAAAACAGTCGTAGAACTACTACTGCCTTACAAGATGCTGGTGTAGGTGCCGTCAGAGAGGCGCACCCTTTCATTGGGGAGGTCCCTCCAGTTGGCACCCGGAGAGAAAGGAATGCGGTCCAGTCGTGCTTGCGTGATTGGTGACAAGGACAGCAACTCGTGGTCTCGAACGATGCCCTCCTGGCTGCCTCTTACCTGCAGTTTCATTGGCAAATCACCACTGGGCAAGTACAGAGTGTTGCCAAGCAAAGTTTACAGGTATGCGACACTCTTCCAGGCAAACAGCTGTATAGTTTACAGCAAAATTTTCAGAAGTGCTAGCTTTTTGCAGTGGCTTCGGTTAGCTAGTATGGTGGTGACCGCTATATTTGAACCTGTTTACAACAATATTCAAGTGCCATGAAAATTTTATTGTTATATAGTCGGGTTGTACAGAAAAAACAAGAAGGAAGGGAAACAGAGAGGGGGTTCCGAACATACAAACTTTGGTTTCCTCCCCAACTGCACCTCTATGTGCCCTCACCTCCATCCCCACGGCTAAGTGGTTGACGATCATTACCAGTGTCCCTCCTACTCACCTTTGCAACTACAGCTTGCATATCACAGGCACTGTGGCACCAAGAGTTAACTGTTATAACTAGAGCTGTGCAAATGATAAGTATTCGGGGCAACGCGTATTCGGATTTTAAATTTTGAGTGGGAATCGAGCATTTTTCTGAAATTGCTCGAATATTTTTCCAATACTGCAATGAGAAACTACAGAAAAATAGTTGCACAGGACCTCTAAGCATATTTTCATGAGATGGGAACATGAAAGCATTTCTTTCGGCCAGGTTCGTGAAATGCTGCAGGGGCGTTCCGTTATTGTGATATAAAGGATAAAGTAGTGTTGACAACACTGCACGTGAGGGGAAGAAGACGCCATTTCCTCAACATCTCCTCCAACTTCTGTGGAGGCCCAAGTGATGCGGCGGACAAGGGTGCACACACTTCCGGTGGGTGAGGTCGGTTGTTTTCTGCACTGTTTTTGAATGCCGGAAAAGCCCACACTTTCTCAAACCTGGCAAAGTAGTGCTTTCATGTTGAAATGTAGTGTAAAGCATAGTGAAAAAGAAAACGATTCCTTTTGCAAGGTAACCCACAGACCTGGCGGCAGTGAGCTGTGTGCGGCGTGAAAACAAAACTGAACTGCTGGCAGTCGAGCAGTGACACATAACGACGTAACATGCAGTATTGCCACGAGCTTGTATACCTTCAAACTTCAAATTTTGCCATTTTTCGAGTGGTACTGATGCACTTTATGTTGCAGGCTGATTTCATGGTACCAAGGCATTATCCAGAGAGCACTTTTTACAGAATGAGTTGATCAAGTAACTGAACAACGGCACAGATGCTTCAAATTTTTTTCCCAGCCAAGTAGAAATGATGACGCACGGTCATGCATCCCTTTCATTATGAAAACTTATACCTATCGAAAGTTTTTCTGCAAACAAACGAGGGAGACCAGCTGCGTGTCAATGAGAAATTGTTTCTATGAAATGAAAATGTGATAATATCCAGGTCTCAATGACAAGCTCGCAGGCGTCTTCAAGCTGCTCCGAGTAGGAACATGTCGAGGTAATGGTCCTTGTATTGGCACGGAATCGGGGCATATCCAGAAGCATGGGTCGGCGAACTCACTTATGAGTTGACTCACTTGAACCCACTTAGACTCAGATCGAGCCGTCAGTCTGAGTGAGTACAGATGAGTAATATTTTCGTGAGTCCAAGTCTGAGTGAGTCCGGTTGAATAAAATTTTCGTGAGTGTGAGTCCAAGTTCGGCTCACAAAAATTTTGGCGAGTCTGAGTCCGAGTGAGCCCAAAGTACGAAATATACTTCTTGAATGAGCCTGAGTGAGTTCCACTTGCTTTTGCTGACCTAATGTCCTATCTTGTCATCTTCACAATTATTACCAGCCTTACCTGGATTCACTTTGATACTCACGTCTGCTCACAGAAATCCCAAAGCAGTGCCGTTCATACAACATTTCAATAGTTATTATTTTGAGGTGTGAATTACGTACGGTGCGTCTTGACCTCTCCCACCAACTCTTCCAGTGAATTTCTTGATTTGTATATTTTATGCTGTCATCTCTTCCAAGAAAAATGACCTTACTGGTTTGGAAGCACACACAGCTCATTTTCAAAGATACTATGTCAAACGAAACCAAGAGAACTGATTGCGCAAAATGTTGGTGTTAAAGAGCACTGACTGCAACGGCGGACTCATGAGTCGACTAAATCTGTGTCACAAACGAGCACTCAGAAAGGGAGCGAGCCGCCGAGTTCTGGCGGCGGTGCCGGTGCCGGGCGCCATAGGGGCGCCTCAAGGTCAACGCAAAAGAAGAAAACAAGCATCCAAAGACTCCTTGGGCGCACCGTCTCTCCCCCTCGGAAGCGTAGTTTTGCCGACCAACCTCCTCACATCAGCCGCCTAGCAAGCCCTGGAAAAATCTTGAAAGAAAGGGGCGTTGGAGAGAGAGAGGTTGGCAGCTGAGAGGTTGAAAGAAGAAAAAGAGCAGCAATTGAAGTTGGAGCTGGAGAGAGAAAGGCTGGCAGCTGAGAGGGCAAAATAAGAAAGGGAGGCAATGGAGTGGCAGCTGAAAGAAGAATGAGAGGCGGAGATGGCTTAAAGGGAATGGCAACAGCAGCACGAGATGGAACTCGAGCGGCTCCGTTTGCAACAGCGAAGCGAGACTCCCGTCCAAGCTAGAGTCGAAAGCAGCAAACGGGAAGATCATGGCTTCCAATTGAACCCAAGCAAGCTACTCGTAGCGTTTGACAAAAGGAAGGACGACCTTTATGCGTACCTGCACAGATTTGAGACGATTGCAAGGAGACAGAATTGGCCCGAACATCAATAGCCAACTGCTTTGAGTACTTGCTTGAATGGCGAAGCCCTCATCGTGTACAGTAGGCTGACGCCGACTGATGCAGCCAACTATGCAAAGATGAAAGCTGCTTTCCTGAAGCGATTTAGATTTACTGTGGAAGGCTTCCGGGCCAAATTTCGGACAGGAAAACCAGCTGATGGTGAGACGGCCACGCATTACGCTGCCCGAGTTAGCCATTATTTTGACAGATGGATCGAACTTTCAGGCACAGCACAGGAGCATGATGAGCTTAGAAAGCTCCTTAGAAACTTCCTATTGTGGGTGCTGTAATGACAAAACAGCCAACCGGTGTTACGAAGGAATGTCAACACTGCCTGGAAAAGTTGCGGGCAAGAAGGTTACAGTGCTAAAAGACACCGGTAGCTCCACTGTTATCGTGCGAAAAAACTTGGTGCGGGAAAGCGAACTAACAGGTAAAACTAAACTGGTTTGCCTAATTGACAGTACGGTTCGGATGCTTCCCGAAGCAGAGATTGAAGTTGAAACCCCTTAATTCAGAGGGAAGGTTACTGTCCTATGTATGACGACTCCCCTGTACAGCCTCATTATCAGAAACATCGACGGGGCACGAGAGCCGAGCGATCCCGAACGTTTGGGGGAACACCCACAGATGAAGCCCCCGGCAACCCAACATTCGAGAGGTACAATGGAGGGGAATCCCGCGAAGGATTTCACCTGAGCTCAAGGTGAAGCCCAGGTGCAAAAGACAGTGAATCGGGAGATGATAGTGTTGAACGAGAGAACCAGCTTTACAGCTGCAATTGCAGGCGAACGACTTCAACCGACCAACAGAGACAAGGTGACGGAGTCGTCCAGCCAAACCCAATGTCGTGATGTGAACAAGCTGGTGAATAGCCAGACAAGATCGGTTGATTGTTATGAACCGTTAACGGTGTCGAAAGTGTCAGCGATGGCTGAGACGCCACCTCAAATACCATCGATTGGAAGGGCTCGCCGGAACAGAATGAGAAAAAATAAGAAGAGATCGAGTGAATACCGCAAGAAAGGGCGCAAGCGCCGCTCGAAGTACACAGGATAGGTGCTGAGGTCGAATCGGAATGTGTTTGGCAGTGTTGAGCCTCAATGTGTTGTGTTGTTGTTATGCTGTGTCGCAAGTGTATGTCGAGCGAGTCAAAATGTTTGTTGCGGTGACGTGATGCGGTCGACAAGATTGTACCAGTGTTGTAAAGGCAGACACTTTTACGTTTGTATTGTTTGATATGTGTAATGGAGTGTTGTACTCATGTACCTGTGGCTATACGGTATTTCATGTGTTGTGAGATTGAATTGCAATGTGCAATTGTATTGAGTGCTCTATTGTGAATGTGATGTGCCATAAGCGACGGACTATGTTACGGACTCCTATTGTGTGGAGACTGTTCGCGTTCATTTGTGTGGTTTTGAATATTGTCACGTGCCTCCCGCCATAAAGACGAAAGCGACGGTGCATATGCGCATCTGCACGCTTTAATGCAGAACGCTACAACGAGAAAGACGAGGAACTCTCCGGCACGCGGTAAATAAAAAGATCAACCCGCTGCTGCTTTCTCAGCGTCTTCAAATAGGACGTCTGTCTTCACGTCACGACACTGGTGAAGGTGCTGGGGCCTGCAACCTGATACAGGAAAGCGTTGTTCGGGACCGTACACCCAGTCCAGAGCCTCAACATCTTGTTACAACTCCAGTACACCGATTCAGCTGGCGCCTACTAGGCCTAAGTTCAGAACTCTTGACTGCATTCCAACATGGCGGCCCCTTCAACGTCTGCGAATCTTCCTCCGGCCCAGACCTCTCATCCTTACCAGGTAACTTTTCAGACTCCTCGTGTTCCCGAAGTCTTCCGTGGAGAACCGTATGAAGATGTCGAGGACTGGCTCGACCAGTTCCGAGCGGACCATTGTGGTGAATCATTGGAGCGTGCAAGAGAAACTTGGCCGTTCCTACTTCGCAATGGAAAATAACGCTCGCCCATGGTATGAGAACAGGGAGCCTACTTTCCAAACATGGGACAATTCCCGCCAAAAGCTTCTCGAGACGTTCCTGAGTGCGGACCGACGGGATCTCGCACAACAGATGATTGAAGCCCGCGTGCAAAAGCCGAACGAAAGCGTCGCCATGTTCGCTGAGGATACGGCCTGTCTATTTCGCCGCGTTGACCCTGACATGCCCGAGGCGAGGAAAGTTCGTCACCTGATGCGGGGAGTTAAGGAACCGCTTTTTGCCGGTCGTGTATGAAATCCGCCAACAACAGTGGATAAATT